TTGTCCCGGCTACTAGGCTATCGCATGTGAGGATCCTGCAGGTGGCTGATCGTTTATAGCCTTTTCTCACAGCAGCCAGAATAATTAAATGTATCATTTTGAATTGAAATTGAAATTGAAATCTACACGCTAATACACACTATACTCATATTCACCAATGCTGATGTTGTTAGCATTAATCATTTGAGAATAAAGTATAACAATAATAATAATTTGAACGGTTTGATGTGATATGAGTTAACCGATCTGTAGATTTAATCACCATTGGTAGTGAGATTTATGATCAGTGTTGGGGGTAATGCATTACAAGTAACGCGAGTTAAGTAATCAGATTACTTTTTAAAGTCTGCAATAATTAAATATGTTAAATAAGACAAATATCATTTATGTATTTAATCCCATTTTATTAACCAATGTCTTTGCTACTGACCTTCGATGATCCAATTTGACCATACTAATAATCAAAAATGACACATTTGTGTTTGGTTTTAGTTATTGCTGAATAGTGTTGAACTTTCTCCTCCTGCGTCATATTCTTCATGCGATTTGTTTGCGCTGCTCCCTCTACTGTACAGACGTGAATTTACATTTCCTTCAGCCTGAGGTGTATTAATTTCACTTTTCTTATGAAAGGGCTTTTATGTTTGTAAAAGAAGGACTTTTTTTTATATTAAAAACAAACAAGTAAGCCCTGCCCAGATTTAAAAAGTAACTCAAAAGTAACGTAACGCATTACTTTCCATAAAAAGTAACTAACGTAATTAGTAACTTTTTTTAGGGAGTAACGCAATATTGTAATGATTTTAAAAGTAACTTTCCCCAACACTGTTTATGATAATGCTTTTTTCCTCAGTTGGTCAGAACAAACGTGGCAGACTTGTTACTTACTTGTTCAGATGGCAATATGAGGCAAAACTTACGGACTGCAGCTTTAAATCTCACAAAGGTAACTTTGTTTCTTTGTAACTCGACTATATATCTCACAAAGTGCCTTTATATTTTCCAAATGTGACTTTATCTCTCTCAATGTGACTTTAAATCTCACAATTGTGACTTTGTTTCTTGTAATTGCAACACTTATATGTCACATTTGTGACTTTATCTTTCAGTGTGACTGTTTCTCGTAATTCTGGCTTTATATCTCACAATGTTCCTTTATATCTGTGACTTTATGTCTCAATGTGAATTTAAATTTCGCAGTTGTGAATTTGCTTCTTGTAATTGTGACTTTATATCTCGCAATGTCTTCCAGCTCTGACTTTATATCTCCAAATGTGACTTTATACATTTTTAGAATGAAACGTTGTTTCAGCTTAGTTACAATAAATGCCTTTTTTGGATAGTTTTGTTTCCTGAAAGTTAGTAATATATATAGTACAAATAATGAATTAAACTTTTTCTATGACATATGATGCTTCTTTTACAAAAGTGTTATGCAAAACTCTCCACACTCTCACTTGTCTTCATAGGTTTCGGCAGGTGCTGATGGAGAATGAGCCTGAGCTGCAGGAGGTTTCTGGACTCTTCCGCTCTGTGCTTTTGGAAACACTTGAGCGTGTTCATGAGGAGCAGGAGGCTCAGCGTCTGACCCACCAGTGGAACAACAGACGCTCCATAAGCCTGTCGCTGATGAGCTTCAAGTCTCGCGTGCGGATCAACCCTTTCGGCAGCACCTTGGGACTGAAATCAAACAGTTATGGCTCGGAGGAAGATGGAGAAGATGTCAAGACTGTGTGTGGGGATGTTGAGAAGGGCTTTGGTCAGACAACAGAGAAAGTGCAGCGTGTGTGGAGCATGCCAGAGTTCCGACACAAGGGAATCAATGGCAAAGCTTGAGTGTCTGGGAGTGGGATTCAGCAGGATCTGGTCCAGACTGTCTGATATTCCCAGCATCACCTTCACTTTCAGTGTATTTATATTTCCAGAAGTGTGGAGGTAAGAGGTATGTTGATGTTGGGAAATAAAACTCAAGTCTTATAAGCAAAGCACCATAAACCAATAAATCTGTTACAAGGACTATATCAAAAAGCCACACTTTTCATTTTTGACTAAATGTGCATATATGCAGTAAATTCCTAAAACAGGAAACCATATATATTCCTGATCACTCACCATCAGTTTCACAGTATATGACAAGTTATTCTGAAATAGTACAGCTGCCTAATGTATCTTGTGAACTTTCGGAAAAAAAGGGGTTTTAAAATGGCCCTTCGGTTTTACAATTGAAAAAAATAACATAAAAAATTCCAGCGCAGGTCAACTTTTGTAATATTGCCCCATTTTTCAAATCAGGCTGTGCTGTATTTAGTGTGGAAATGCTCAGATGCTTGTGATGTGCAAGTGTGTAAGTGTGATGAGTTGTTGTGAAACATTTAAATGAATTGTATTTAATTACTTTGTCAATTGAGTTAGTCAGTGTAACTGTAGAATGTAAATGTATAAAATCAATAAATGTTTTAATTTCATTGTGCAGAAAAATAAAGATTTATGCACATTTGCTTCTAGCGTTTGGGATTCTGCGACAGTGACATGGCATCCTATATTTTAATACAAATGTCTCAGCTATATGGTATCAAAACTTTCACAAATATTTTCCTGAATTTATCCTCAATACATGAATATAGGGAGAAGATATTGCAAAACTTTATGCTATTTTGCAGAGGTACTGATGAATATTATAATATAGCCAACACCTGTTGACAGAAGAAATTGTATAAGGCTAGGCTGCCGATATTAATATTATTATTCATGCAGTAACAAACCCTGTGCGAAACAAGCATACCTTAAAACACTTCCCCAACTATCTAAATGATTTTGTTAACTGTTAGAAACCATGCCAACCAATTTCTAACAAATGTTTATGCATTTGGTATAAAATAAATAAATAAAGGGACACCAACTGGAAATTTATTTAACAGTATTGTTATCAGCAGTCAAATGCACGTGACTCACAAAGGCAGATCATGAGATTTTAACTACCTGCTCATTTAGCTCAACAAAGTAAATACACAGATTATCATGGGATAACAAGAAACAGCACTGGAACTACACGACTACAATGTTGTTTCAAATTTGAACAGTTTTTTTTTTTATATATATACAACCTTCGCCCTGGTGAACCAGTACAAACTGTTCATAAATGATTTAAATCTTTCTGAAAAAATCCTAAGAAATCTGGACTGATTCTGTTATTATGTACTTGAGGTTTGAATTTAAAAATGAGAATACAAGAATAATTATTTTTTACAATTTCAGTAACATGTAACAATGTTACATCCATGCTACAGTTCTCAGAAGGTAGAGTTAATTAGACATAAAATATAAGTATTTCAGAACACAGTCTGGATAAAAAAAAAAAGAAAAAAAAAAGAGGACAACAACCATCCACATGGAGTTTATGGTAAGGAATTGTCAACGTATAACATCAGGCAACAACATTAATAGTTGAAAATGGTCTTTCCCTGAGTGGTGGTCAGGCGATGAAAATAAATGAAATGAAAAAATAAAAAATGAAAAAATGAAGAAAAAAAAATACAAGGTTGTCTGTTTCTGCAGTTCCAGGTCTGGACTGAATCAGAAAGTGGAGTTTAAGAACTCCAGCAGTTCGGCTCGGTTTTTGTCCCTCTGTTTAAAAAAAAAAAAAAAGCAAGTTGATTAAAGATCTGTGCAAAACTGTTAACCTGACTATAGTTAATCTGGTTTACATTCTAACACTATTTTCACCAGCCATCATACAAATATAAAATCAGCAGAGGAAAATATCCATTCCACGTAGGGCTGCACGATTAATCGAATGCGATTGTCATGCGCATTTTGATAGTAATGCCGGTTCGGTAATCAGCAGGAAATCATCATCACGTGCTTTCAGATGGAGCAGAATTTACTACACATAGCCGTAGTTCACTGACAAGTTACGCAAAAAAAAATCGCGATTTTATTGCGCGATTCTGAAATCGAAGAAATCGCTCGCGATAATGACAGCTGTTTGCATAGCTTCTCAGTGAACTACGGCTCTGTGAAGATAATGCTGCTCCATCTGAAAGCATGTGAAAATACCACATTTAATAACATATTTTTACTCCAAACTCACTTCATAACGTCAGTCGAGTGTTTGAAATAAATCCTCCTGTGAGATGATGTGGCTTCTTACACAGAATAAGGCACGCAACATATGTCATAGTATTTAAGCAGTGATAAAGGCATATTTTAATGAAAATTATAATACCAAGAACTCAGATAAACCGTATATTGCCGTAGTCGTGTGTTTATTAGTCACGTTGAATCAATGAAAGCAGCTGAATCTTCTGTTTATTCAGCTGCAGCGATAGGCATTTTCTGGGTTTCTTCTGCGAGGCGTATTTGGAGTTCCAGCGCGAGAGCGCCCTCTGGCCTTCGGATGGAGATTTACTGCTGATCACAGAACCGTGCTTCACTGAAAGATACGCATGACAATCGCAGCTTCTGTCGAATCGCGATCTCCATTCCATTTCGATTTATCGTGCAGCCCTAAATAGCGCTGTCGCTTTAATTCAGCGCGTGCAGCGCAGCAATAGACTCGGTGCGGAAACGATCTCTGCACTGCTGCAG